GGTTTCACCATGTTGGCCAGGCTGGTCTTGAACTCCTGACCTCAGGTGATCTGCCCACCTTGGCCTCCCAAAGTGCTGGGATTACAGGCATGAGCCACCACGCCTGGCCTCTTTTCTTCTTTGGATCATATCTTTAGGTTTCTTACTAGTCAAGAGTCTTCTTTCCAACCTAATGATTCAATCCGCATCTAGTCAATGTGAAACTGGATGACTAAGCAACCAACTCCTGGGGTGACCTTAAGAAACTAGTGGTCTTTTAAATATTTTTATATGCCCATATATCCATACACTGCCCCTACCAGTTCCCTCCACGAGCATGCAAGTTTTGTTCAGGGTTAACACACAAATAAAGACAAACCCAGGAAAGACTTCAGGTCTCCCGAGGGTGCACTGATATTCTACTCCACGGCTCTTGCTTCCTTTATTGTACAAAAGGGATTTCTCTCACTCACCCAGCTGCATCACAGCAGCCTTTCTTCTGTCTCCCGTTTCAATGAGTTTCCATTTAGAATGATGCTGTAATTTTGAACTGTACACTTATCTTAGATTTGCTAATTTGAAAACACACATGCACACAACTCATCTGTAAGTAAGATTTAACCACCCAGCAATCTGAGCAGCAGACACAAAATTTCATTTGGTATAATATCTAATACTTATGTGAAGCTAATTAAAGATAATTTGGTCTTAATGAGGCAAAGAGAATATAACAGTGTTAATTTCAAAGTAGGCTGATCCATGAAAGTCAAGTAAAATCATTTCTAACATTTCCACAGACCTAGACTATCTGATGATTCCCACATTCATATTAGTGGTTGGAATAACCCTTCACATTTGTCTCATGTTTTATAGTTACTGATCATCTTCCTATCATTATCTCACTGGATTCCACAATAGTTCTGTGGATGCAGGGTGCAGACATTCTCCTTTACACTGCAGAGATGAGGAAAACCAAAGTTACACAGCCAGCAAATGGTGGAAGAGAACTGGAGTACAGGCTAGGGACGCCACATTCGGGGCTCCAGGCACTGTGTACCTCACCTTACGTTTTTACTACATACAAACTTGAATGTTTTTTTTTTTTAAAAGAACTTTTAGTAGAAAAAAAATGTTAAAGAAAATACTGCCCATTGAAAGCATCGAGCCCCTTTCAAAACAGATAAATTTCTAATTGGCTTTACTTTACGATGTAAGCAGAAGGAAACATTTATTACTCTCATCCATGAAATCTAAGCAGAGTCTAAATGTGACATCATATGAATGGTACTTCAGATAGGGATGGCTGAAAAGCATCAGGCACATATGGGAAACACATTTAAGAATGAGCCTCCCTACAGGCTGCCATCTATATTTCCTTTTTCTGGTTTTATGCTGCTAAGGGTATTTTTTCACATAAACAACTTACATTTTGGGATCCCTTTGATCATTATGAACAGTCTCAATTCAATCCCAGAACCAACAGACTCTTCTGAGGGTGAGAAGGCAGCCATTTCCATAAGGTCAAGTAGGAGTCCCAACTAATCTGTAATTTCCACTTGAAATGCTGAACTGTGACAACAGGGCTCACACCATTATTAGAGGGTGCTGTTGAGGCATGCTGGTCTATTGTTTTCTTTTTTCCTTAGAATTACCAAGGTGTCAAAACAGAGCCTTAGAATCACAAGAACTGGCCAGGTGCAGTGGCTCACACCTGTAATCCGCTGAGGCCAGCAGATCACGAGGTCGGGAGATCGAGACCATCCTGTCTAACACTGTGAAACCCCGTCTCTACTAAAAAAAAAAAAAATACAAAAAATTAGCCGGGCATGGTGGTGGGTGCCTGTAGTCCCAGCTACTCAGGAGCCTGAGGCAGAAGAGGCTGCATGAACCGGAGGCGGACCTTGCAGTGAGCAGAGATAGCACCACTGCACTCCAGCCTGGGTGACAGAGCGAGACTCTGTCTCAAAAAAAAAAAAAAAAAAAAGCAAAAAAAAAAAAAAAAAAAGCCACAAGAACCCCCAAACTCCCTAAAATGAACCATATTTAATTTTCACCCTTCAGTTTAAAGAGGAAAAAACAACAAAGTCTATTCTTCTGATCTATCAGATGAATAAATATCTACAAAGCACGTCCCTGAGTTAGGAACAATAGTTTTTTTGACTAAAGCAGCCAAATCCAGGCTGGCACAGCGCACTCAAGGGAAGATTAAGTGAACTTCAACACTACAGCCGGATCCCATTGCAGAGTCCAGAGAAGCACTCTGAGGCATCCTCTATCCTCAACAAAGAGACATGATGACCCCAGGGCTTGAATTTCTGCCATGACCCATACTTTGGCCCCAAAGCCTCTGGCTCTCTCCACTTGAAGACTGGCTCACAAAGCCTCACCAGCCACATAAACTCTCTGGACAGTATCCTCCAGTCATTATTCTCCATTTGTTAAAAGAGAAAACAAGAGGATATTTTTTAACAGAGAAAACATAACACTGTACCTAAACACCCCTGGCTTTACCCTGAAAAAGTCTGAGCAAAAAGTAAGAAACACCAGGGGAAAGAAATTTTCAGTGACCTCAAATATAAAGGAGATCAAGCTCCCCTCTGGCAGGTCTTCAATCCGGGAAAGACGAAGGGAGATTGATTACATCAGAAAATCTAAGATCTACCTGTTTAGAGTTACACCTTTATACCCTGTGAAGGAGGCCTTGAAGTTATGATCTAGAAGATAACGATCTCGAACTTCTTATCAACTCAAGTAAGTGTATCACCAGAGGTAAGGAAATATATGAAGGGAACTTTTCTTCCCACATTTAAGTATGTCTTTAATCTGTCTAGGCACCCAGACAAAGAGATCCTAAGGAAATAAAACAGGGAAGGGTATTTTTAAAGTACCACCTTAAAAACCACAAAGGGTAAACCCTAGACAAGTGAACACCACTAAATTGATCAGGCATTTACACAAAAGAGTAATTCATTAGAATGAGCCTCATGAGAAAACCCAAAAGATAACGACAGAGTCAGAACTGATGAGTGAGGCACTACCTCACCAGCATAAAACAGGGCTATCGTAGGGCTGAAATGTATTAAACTGAACATACAGATAATGTTTCCATGCCCTTTTGTCACTATCCATGATGCCATGGCCAGGTAAAAGAATTTTAATGAATCTGTAAAGCCCATCAAAAAGACTGTCAGAACGCATTTTTCAAGCAGGGTTTGAAATGTCTTATTTCCCAGGCTCCCCCTTCTAGTCAGCACCTGAAAGCTGCTGAACTACAAAGGGCCTATCAAGTTAAACCTTCATATAAGGAATAAGAATCATTACACAACACTTCATTCTCAGTATGAAACATTTCTTCTATCCAACCATCAAGCAGCTATCATAAGTGATGATAAGATTTTAAATTACGTGCAGCAATCAAGGATAACAATATCAAACATGCTAAACCATAACACAGCTGACATTTGTAGTACGCTTACCATAGTTCTTGCAGACCTTGTGCCAGGCTGTTTACTTGTGCCCTCACATTTCACTCCCATAAAACCCAAGAGGTTGGTGCTGCCATTATCTCTAATTTTCTAATGAGGAAACAGGGGCTCAGAATGGTCAAGTAACTAACTCAAGGTAGAGGAACTGGGCTATGGCTGGCTCTTGAGTTTGCTCCTAGCCAGTACATCTCAAGACTTCCTAAACAAGAATTAGCTATGGTGTTCTGTTGGTTTTTGTTTTTGCTTTTTTTTTTTTAGAGATTACTATAATTAGAGAAATAGTCATGAATTTTAAAATAAGACTTTGGAAAAAAAGTTTGGGTAGTCTGGGAAAAAAATCTGAAGATTAACAGAAAAGGTTTAATTTTTACTTATTTTTTGCTATTAATTTTTAAAGATGAGGTTTCACTCTGTTGCATAGGCTGGAGTGCAGTGACAAGATCATAACTCACTGTAATCTCAAACTCCTGAGCTCACACAATCCTCCTGTCTCAGCCTCCCAAGTAGTTGGGACTACAGCACACCCAGCTAATTTGTGTGTTATTTGTAGCAACTGGATCTCACTAGGTTGCCCAGGCTGGTCTTGAACAAATGATCCTCCCACTTAGGCCTCCCAAAGAACCGGGATTACAAGTGTGAGCCACCGCACCAGGCCAAAAAATGATTAATCTAAAAAAATCTAACTACCACACATAAACACATATATGTCTATATGCATGTATACATGTGTGTATATGTGTGTGCGCACATGTATTACCTAGGCAAATATGACCTGTTTAACAAAAAGGAAGATTGGCTAATAAAACAAATTAATGTTAGCACAGTTTGCCTTTAAATTTCCATTATGAAACTGGAGGAATGGCCTTAAAATCTTATGAGAAAAAGGTAGAGGTAATAGCTACCTTGAAAAATTTGAGGTACTGCAATTTGCCAAGAGTCCCTACCCAACAATTCCTTGATTTCAATATCACCTTCTGTACAGACTACCCTTTTCTTATCTTATTCCAGACAATATGAATTTCTTTCATGCCTGATGACTTATTGATACTATCATCACAGTTTCCAGAACATTGTCTCTCTCATTTGAAGTCACACAGAGCTGGGCTGTAATATTACATTTCAGCAGTAGGTGTCATGACCTGAAACACTGGAGACCAAAATACTTCTTGAGACTTCAGGTTATATTAAGAGAAAATAAGCCAGTGATTCCAGTTGTACTCAGCTTGAAAGCTTAGAATTCTTTACACTGAATTTACCTATAATGTAGACATCTCCACAATGAATTACCAATGCTGGTATAAAATAAAAGCTTAATCATAAATATGTATAGTATTATATAAGCATATATAATATCCATATGTCAGTACTAACATACTCACGCTTCTTTCTCTATTCCTTTTTATTTTAAAATTTAAAGCCCATGCTATAACCATATAATTGCCTTAAATAACAATACAGTTTTAATAGAGAGATAAATAGCATGAAGTTATGATAATGGGAAGTCATTGTACAACACATAGGAAAAACACAACTTACCACTACTGCCACAATCTGCACAAGAGAGGAGTTCTTCTGGTTTCTTTTCACGATTTGATTCTTTAGTCCCCAAACAGAAGCTACATATTGGAATGGGATCAGCACGTGGCTATGACAAAATTAAAATAAAAAATACTGTCACTTTTCCATTTCAAAATTAAAAACATTAAAATCAAAAGCTTCTTACATTTTTCACTTAAAGCTTCTTCTTTCTTTAACAAAGAAAAACTGCTAAATAACGTATTTAAATAAACATTTTCTGCTAGTAAAAAAAACTCATATTATTTTTGAGACGGAGTCTTGGTCTGTCGCCAGGCTGGAGTGCAGTGGCACAATCTCGGCTCATTGCAACCTCCGCCTCCCGGGTTCAAGCGATTCTCCTGCCTCAGCCTCCTGAGTAGCTGGGATTACAGATGCGCACCACCACGCCCGGCTAGTTTTTTGTATTTTAGTAGAGACGGGATTTCACCATGTTGGCCAGGATGGTCTCAATCTCCTGACCTCATGATCCACTTGCCTCAGTTTCCCAAAGTGCGGGAATAAATCTCTTAAATTATTTGACACTAAAGTATTACCTGAATACATTTCAGTATAATGTATGACTCAGAAGTCATTTTTATTAAACAAATGAAATCTAATACCTTTATATATTATATAGCTTGCCTGAAATGAACATAATTAAGGATTCATTGGACATTTCAATTGTTCCCATTATCTATATGCCTACAATAAATTATCCATTCAGCATTATAGTCTATGAATATCATGTATAGACTGTTTAAACTTATTAAATGTTGTAATGCAGGTTGCTATTATTCACCTACCAAATATTTGACATAAAATATCTGTATGTTTTTAGGTGACAGAATAATAGAATGAGCAGGATTCTGTGGGATCACTTGAAAAGGTCATTATTATCAAGGGTTTTGTGGCATGAAGGTCTTCAAAAGTAAACCACACCACACCAAGCAAAGAAGATAAACCCTCAATCTCTGACATTCCCACTTTATTTATTTATTTATAGACAGAGTCTCACTCTGTTGCCAGTCTGGAGTGCAGTGGCGTGATTTGGCTCACTGCAACCTCTCCCTCCCAGGTTCAAGTTATTCTCCTGCCTCAGCCTCCTGAGTAGCTGGCGACTGCAGGCACGTGCCACCACACTCAGCTAAGTTTTGTATTTTTAGTAGAGATGGGGTTTCACCATGTTGGCCAGGATAGTCTCGATCTCTTGACCTCATGATCTGCCCGCCTCAGCCTCCCAAAGTGCTGGGATTACAGGAGTGAGCCACGGCGCCCAGCCTGACATTCCCACTTTATATATAAGAAACAACAAAACATTTGTCTAGTCCCCAACCACCCTTTAACTCTCGTATGAAAATTGCTTTTAACAATGTATAAATCTACATACATTTTAGTATCTCCATTGTTATTTACTACTATCAGCAATGCTAGTATTCCCATCCATAGGAATAGCTGACTGTGCCTACAGATCTGGTCACATTATTTTCAACAGCCAAAACTACGAAAACTATAATTTTACCGCATATTCCAAGCCTTCACACGTGTTGTCTGCTAGCCATCTGAATGTTACTATGATGTCTCTCTATTTGAATCTCATGAATCAAAAATTCAGAGCAAGAACACCCAACATAATCACAAATGTTTTTAAATGTAAATTAAAAACAAGGTTTTGCTAGGTCTAACTCTCTAAATATACATCAGCATAGAATAAACTTCATTTGTTCAGCCACTCTAGCCCAAATGCCTAATGCATTTCCTGGTGCATAGTAGGCACTCAAAATATATCTGCTAACTGAATACATGAAGGAAATATATGCTAGTTAAGAACAAAAAAAATCAATGGTAATAATGATTCCGACAAATGCCTTGGCTCCTTGTGACAACATGTCATCAAAAACAGAAAATCATCTCATGACCAAGCATTTACAAAATTGTTTAATATGACTGCTAATCTCATCTTACAAGGGCATTCATTATCTTCCCTTTACTTTCAGCTTAATTTGTTCTTATAACATGCATAGGCTTTACATTCTGAGGTAGCTATGCAAATATATTTTTATAGCCCCAGTTAAAAAGTATATTATAAAACATTCTGTACTAGAAAAACCAGAAGACACAAGCTATAACAAATTGGTCACTGACTCTAGCCACAGTTTTTTAAATGCCAGATAATCAGCACTGCATAATTATGGATCCATAGTTATTACTTGCAACTGCTCAACTGCAGTACCTTGGGAACACTTTTGTTCCTTTAAATAGCAATTAAAAGAACAATCTGGCTTTAAAGTGACAACATTCCCCTGATAGATTCGAGCTAAAACCCGGTCCTCTTACTAATGGGATTCCTGCTTTCATTTGATATAACAATGTTCAAGCTACTGCTGCCATCCTTGCAGTGATAAATAATTTACAGAATGTCACATATCATTCATGCAATGAAACAAATCCAAATCTCCAATCCCATTTTTCTTTCCCGGATGAATTTTTAGCTGTGAGAGAGACATGGCCATCAGCCAGTATTCATGTTCATTTTTCGTTTTTTAACTAAAGGTAACACAAAGGACAAAGGTTGCTAGTAGTTCATGGCCAGAAAGACTGATGTCCCGCGCTCTGCCCAATAATAGAAAGCATAGATGTTATCACTTCACGCTACATTCAAGTGAACCCCGCCATGCTGATGTATGCTCACAACCATTTATTTTAAGGATAACTATCTCACAATACTCTATAAAACCACTGCATTATACAGAAATGTCTGCCCTGCTGAATTATTGATAATTCAAAGCACTTTTTGCTAACCTCAGTGTAGCCAAGTCTAATTAACTTTAAAAAATTGTCACTTGTACGAAATGAAACTTTTACAGTAACGCAAGTAAATGGGTCACAGGATTATTATGATTCACTGTTCTCAATCAGACTACATATAAACTGTTTTTTAAAAAGTCCTTTATAATAAAGTAAAATGGATTCCAGTCAGAAAAAGATCTGAGTAAATGGAAACTTGATTCTATACAAATCTACTACAAGTCAGTCATATTTAAGATGTTTGAAAATGATACCAAAAATCTCCAAATTCTTAATTCCTTTCTTTGAAATTTCACAAAGGCACCTAACCTGTTGATCACATTTTCCCATCAACAAGCCTGAATATTTTAAACTAATCCCAAGAAGGAATGCTCATGAATAAGTCTAAAGATGAATACATCCAGCAAACTGTGCTCTGGAAGGATCTCCTTGTCTCCCATGCAATGGCCCTGGGGCAGCTGCTAGGCTAGAGGCTGCTCCTGTACTGTCTCATTTAATCGTCTTAACAATCTTGCCTGGTATGAGTATTATCTCCATTTTAGAAAAGAAATTGAGTATCTAAGAAGTTAAGCAACAGGCGCGTGCCACTACACCCGGCTAATTTTTGTATTTTTAGTAGAGATGGGGTTTCACTATGTTGGCCAGGATGGTCTCGATCTCTTGACCTCATGATCTGCTGTGTAGAGCTGTACTCAAACACAAGTCTGTCTTCACGAAAGTCCATTTCTTACTTCGCTACCTCCCCTCCATTCCTCAGGATAACAAATGTCTAAAGTTATCTTTCCATCAGTGGCAATAATTCTTGACTAATGTGTTCGTAATCTATTCCATACAATTTCTCCCATGACCAATGGCATATGGTTTTAAAAACTATTAAAAAGGTAATCACTAAACGCCATGGATTATTTATTAATTACTATAGGCAGAAGGTACCTTTACAATGGAGAAATCTGGTGGACACTTTCTAAACCAGTATGGGACAAAGTGACATCATGTGCCTTCCAAGTGCCTATCCTGAAGGACTGAGCACCGCCTATATAGTATCATTGCCAGAAACACTTACCCTAAGTCCAATCATAAAGAAACAATCAGGCAAATCCAAATTGGGTGATATTCTCTGTAACAACTTTTCCATACTCTTCAAAAAATGTCAGAGTAAGAGACTGTTTGGGGTGGACACGCTGGGTGTCTTCATCCAGGTGAAAGCGTTAGATTCGTTCTTGTGGTTCCGGAGTACCAAACTTACACCAGTATGGGTTACCATAGACAGCCTTTCCAACAGAGCTGTCTAGCAATGGAATGGATTTTTTTTTTTTTTTCTGTTTCATTTACTTAGTTTTTATTTTTTAAATTGTGGTTCCAATGGCATTAAGTTCACAATACTGTGCCACCATTACCACCATCTATCTCCGGAACTCTTTTCAACTTGCAAAACTGAAACTCTGTATCCACGAAACAATACTTTCCCATATTCTCTTCCCCCACCCCAGGAAATCACCATTCTACTTTCTGTCTCTATGCATTTGACTACTCTAGCTACCTCATATAAGTGAAATCATACGGTATTTGTGGAATGGATTATTCCTGAGGCAATAAGAGGCCCCTATAATCAAGTGGCCATGGAGAGACTGGATGGCCCCATCAGGATGCTGAGGACACAACAGTATACAATTTCACCTCACACAATTTGGGGATCTGGGACTCTTCAAAGATTCCATCCAGATCAAATATTTTAATGGTTCTAGAGTTAATCTCTAAGGTCTTTCCCAGTTCTAATTTTTTATTGATTCTATAATACTTAGAAATTTTAACAGTCTTCAAGACCTTTGATCTCAAAATAAGATAGCCTTTTCTAAGGAAATATTCTCTAAATCTAGGACAACGCATTTCTGAGAAGCTTTATTTTACTTTATGAATACTTCTGTTTCTGCCCAGAAGGAAACTATATATTTGTTAGCCTTAGTCTAAGTAACTGGACAAAAATAAATGAAAATTCCTGCACTAAATCAGAGCCAGGAGTATTTAGACTCATATCCTCCTCCTGACAATGACACAAAAAGGGGTTTTGTAAGCCATTTCCATGGTATCTGTTCACAATGATCAGGGATATATAGCCCTCTCTCTCCATAATCCCCCATAGATCCATACTTCTTAAGTCATCTACATCTTTCATGAGACTGCTGAAAAAAATACACCATTTTAGTAATCCCAAGTGTTAAAAACAAAACAGTTCAGCATTTTTCATTCATACGTTCATACTTGCACCACAGAAAGACCCAGATT